GTCAAGAATCTCTAATGCTCATCCCTATCCATCTAGAGCTAGACTTGAGGGTTAAACCCACATCATTAGCTTGCCCAGCCTAAAGAGTCACCACATTGACTCTTCTCACACCTTTTCCACAACCACAGCCTTTGCAGCCAACCTTTAGTATCACTTTCACACACATCATTCACACATACATTGCCATATCCTCCTTCCCTTAGGAACCCCTTATCATGAAATCTTGTTTCATCAATGCGCATGCTTCATCATCCTTCACAACAACATCCAGCAAACATCATCATTATACACTTGCCTAGCTCCCTGACTTAATCAACATTCATCGAGATTCATCATCACACTTGCTTAGCTCCATGACCTAAGTAATACTTAGTAAACACCACTGTATACATGCTTAGCTTCCAGACCTAAGGAACGTCCAAGATTGTACGCTATATATGATGCTTAGCTTCCTAACCTAAGCAACATACATTGACAATAAACTACGATTATAATGTGCTTAGCTTCTTGAACTAAGTGCATTCATTGATCGTGTCACATGATGTATTTTTCCTTAGCCTTCTGGCCTAAGAACATTCATCATGCATCCATCATTTTCAAGACGAGCGAGCCAATTTGAAAAGAAGAAAATCCATGCGATTCACCTCACTTTGCTCTAAGAGGAAGTTCAAAACTTCTTCCATTTTTCATCTATTTTTTTGGGAAGTTTAAAAACTTTTTCAAAATTTGCTCGACGAGAAAGTTCAAAACTTCTCTCCATTTTTCATCTTTCTTCTTTTGGGGAAGTTCAAAAACTTTTACAAAATTTTTTTTCATCATGGGAAGTTCAAAAACTTCTTCCAAAACTTCATTTTTCACGTTTTTCTTTTTCGAGAGAAAGTCAGTACACTCCCCTCATGACAAAAAATGACGGAAATTTTTGGATTTTCAGTTGCTTGTGTCTGCACACACGCGCAAACTATACATATACACACACAATCACAAGTCATAAACATGTAATTTCATGTCGAGCCAACCTACAGCCCACGTTCAGGGACAATCGAACCGTTATCATTTGCAGCCCACGTTCGGGGATAACCGAATCATTATCATTTGCAGCCCACGTTCAGGGACAATCAAAACATTATCATTTGCAGCCCACATTTGGGGACAATCAAACCATTTACAGCCTAAGATCATGGACAATCGAACCATTATCATTTATTAGGCACGTTTTCCCAAGGCACAGAAAATGGTCAGCTGATGCATACTTCTTGAGGCATAGAAGTCTACAATTGTGTCCCAAGGCGTGGACACTTAGTGTTATTCTCGGAGTATGGAATTTCACTTGTGAGTTAGTCGAGGCGTAGGAGCTCACGATATGGTTCCCGAGGCGCGAAAACTATCACACATCAATTTTCCCGAGGCGCGGAAGATCACTAATCAGTAGATTGCTCGAGGCATATGAGCCTACAACTTGTTTCCCGAGGCGCGTAAATTTGTCACCTTTTATCTAGTGGATTGCTCGAGGTGTGGTGATTCACGATAGAATTCCCAACGCGCGGAAGACTTTAATCCGGTAGATTTCCCGAGGCGCAGAAATCTACCTAACATATTTGTTGTTGGTCCACTAGTGTCAGATACACATTCTATCCCTTTACTCTTTTATCTGCGGAACTAACGCTTTTCTGCAGGTATCGGTATATACAGAGTTATTTAGGATCGTAGAATGTCTTAAATCATTCTCCGTCCCAATTGACTACTTTGACTATCGTTATCAAAACTTACGTTTCTACAAACTCCGTCAAAGTGGGGGCTTTTGTAGACACCTAAAATTGTCTCCCCAAAACCAAACTCGATGATGAATAACCTTTCACCGCCATTATTAATCGGGTTGAGTATTTAATCTTGGGAGTTTTTAAAATCCATATTCAATCAAATACATTCAACAAATAAGAGAACAAATTAGTCAGATTAGTCAAAGCATAGTCCAACCCTCATTTCAACCAAAGCCATTTTAATCCATTTCATTTTATTTATTAATTAAGCCCGATTAATAAATATATTAAAACGCTAAACCTGATATAAGTCCGGAACACTGAAACAGCGCTGAAATTATCCTGTACTTAATGCAAAATAAAAGATAAAAATGAACTTAGACGAAATTCCATGAAACACAAACGTGTGCCGCGCCATGGCGGTTACTGCCGCGCCACCGCAATTTCTGTTGCGTCACGGCAATTTTGTCGTGACACGCAATTTCTAGGTTTCATTTCTCCGCGGCACCTCATTTCTAGGGTTCTGGACCTCACACCTCTCAATTCCTCTATAAATACGAGGCTGATTTCTCAGTTTCGGGGCACCAAATCATTCTCTCTTTCTCTCCAATGCATTAGTCTACATTTATGTCTTCCCTATTCACACAATTCATCCCTTAAGAACTCCCTAGAGTCCATACTTTCCCCAAATTTCCACACTTAAACCAAGGCGTGAAAGGTAAAACTGTTTGAGGGTTTAGCCCCAAATCAACTCTACTTTAATTTAATTTAATTACTGTTTTATTATTATTTTTCCTTGAAGTTACTAATGCATTTATTGTTTTATAGTTGCAAGCAGACACAATCAAAGTAAGGAATCATGTTCCTTTTGTTCATATTATATTTCTAACGATTTTTATTATGTTTGTCATGTATTAGTTGTTAGATTTTATAGTTAAATTGCTTCCAATGTTAATGATGATTCTTTTATTTATTGTTGATCACCATATTGGATGTTAAAGGGAATATGTAATTGTATATAACGACTAATAAGACAATTTGGACGACCGGTTTAGGTTCCGTTTTAATCTTGTTGTTTAATTGAAGTGATCATGATATTTAGAATAATATGTTGCATTAACGGTCAACAAATTTAGCTTAATAATAGTTTGGAGCAAATTGAATCTTTGTTTGTGTGCCTTTGAGATCGCGTGAAAAACTTTTCACAATAAGAATCCAGTAAAGGCCAATATGAGCGAATGTGACTCCATGACTCTCTTCGTACCATCATCCCCGATCCTCCTTTCGTGGTTCCAAACCATATGGAGTTAGTAATCTCATGGATTATGAATGGGGTGTAACCTTCACGGGTCAATCGTTGTTGCCTATCGTTGTCCCTTATTCGTAGTTGCCTTAAATGATCCGTGAACGGTTTACAAGTTCCTTAAAAACTTGTTAGAGGCTCCCAACTTTTCTTTGTCCCTATTCGTATGTCAATTCTCACTTCCTACGAGCGCCAAGCATATTCACACCATGCTTAAGTAGGCGCGCTTCGATCGACGCCTTTAGTGTCCGAACAGTAGGACTATGCCCGCTGCTGCTGCTTGTGCCGAATATAGTCTCTAGCATCCTTACAGCGCTAGGATGGCTCATTTGGTAGCCTCAGAGGCTGCTTGGTCTGCCCCCTAGCCGACTTTGATGTCTCAAAGTCCCTGTACTAGTTCATCCGAGGCACCCTTGAGGACCTAAGATGTCTTTTGAATGGGGTATTCCCTGCATCTTCGGTGTTGGTCGTCTTGTCTTGGGGTTTTTTCCAAATGCCCTCTCCTTCTCTTTTAGACGGTTGTATAAAAGAAGAGGGTATCTTACCCTTAAGCTCTTTTCAGAGCTTGTCCAAGGCAGCCTGCAAGGAGCCGGCTGTTAGTAGCAACAATGTTCTCTACATAGCCGTCCTAACTAGGATCGAGTGCCTGACCACCTTAGCCATTTCAGACGTGTATCCCCATAGACAGCGCCAAATGTTTCGTGGTTTTTTGGAATCCCTCGGGATACAGGTCGTGAATACAGCCGGATGGTCGCGAACACCTACAAAACAATGAATAATCCGTTTGCCGAAATATTTGCCTCCGACCATCAAGTTAGTGATTGGAAAACGAAAGAATCTAGAGAGAGAAAGTAGAGAGAAGTTGGAGCAATTTAATATGCATGAATGATATGTCTCTATCCACCCCTTCCATCATAAATGATTGGGGTATTTATACGGGTGGGATGGTGTGTCTTTTAGGGTTGGTGGCCTAAAAAGGTGCAACATGATTGGCGGCACAATCAATGCAGAACACGTGTTCTTTAGGGGTCGGGCGCCGTTATGGCGCTTTTCTCGGGATTTGGGCCTGTTGATGTAAGGACGCCTTCTCTCATTCAGGTTCTCTTTTATTGGGAACGTGTCATCTTCCTATTGGAACACGTGTCGCCCTTTTATTGGGCCACGTGTTACTATGGGATTGGACCACGTTGTAGGGGTATTTCTTAGCCTAAACATCAACCTTTTTGCTATTAAAACAATACACATGTTAGTAAACTTCAAGAAAGCGAAATCAATAAAGCAATAAGAAACTAAATTAATATAGAATTGAATACAGATTTGGCACCAAACCCTCAGAAATATCAACCTTTAACATCAAGGTCGAAGATGACAACGTCAACTGAGGTTTGGAGTATTCGAATCACACAAAGGAAGTATTGTGGATGATTTGGGAGTATCAAGGATGCATTTAAGCTAAGTCTAAGAACATAGGTGTTAGCAATCTCAGAGTATGATAACTGTTGATGGTAATTGTTGATGATTTGAAATCAGGAAAAACGACCTCTATTTATAAGGAAAAAAGTGAGTCAAAACGATCTAAAAAATAAAAATCCGAAGTCCGAACAAAATAGAACTTTGTTTGACACGACGCAACAGGTTTGTTGCGGCGTTGGCCCTTCACTAGTAGAAAAAACTAAATAGGCACCCCCCTATTGCACCGGTTCTTGAAAACCGGTGCCAAAAATAAATGGGCGAGACTTAAAAATTCAGAGTTGGCACCGATTCTAACCAAAACCGGTGCCAAGCATTTAATTAGCACCGGTTCAAACCGGTGCCAACTTATGAAAAAAAAAAAAGTATGGGAAGGAGTTGGCACCGGTTCTCCTTAAACCGGTGCCAACTATGGTATTTAGCACCGGTTTAAACCGGTGCCATTTTTGAAAAAAAAAACCGGGCGAAATAAAAAAAAATAAATAAATCGGGGTATTCATTTCTCTGCTTCTTCTTCTTTCTTTCTTTCCCCCCTGCATTTCATTTTCGTTATCCCTAACTCTCGTTTTCGCCCTTCTCTTAGCTTCGACCACCTTTCTCCATATTTCTCCTCCATTACGCGTGCTCGTAGTTCTCCATTGAAGCGCATTCTGAGTTTTATCCATATCACTCCTCCACTACGCGTACTGTATTCTCCATTGAAGCGGATTCGAGCTTTCTCACCTTCATTGAAGCAGCTTCGAGGTAAAAATTTGTTTTTGTCCTTTTGTTTTCGCAATCTAGGGTTTGTCGTTTATTGATTTTTGAATTTAGGGTTAGTTCATGTAAATTAGGGTTAGTTTACTACTGCAACCCTCTTAATTTCGATTTGGATTCTCTGGGTTTGGGTTTCACTTTGGGGTTTTTCTGGATTTGACTTTCTTTTAGGTAGTCAATAGGGAGGCAGTTTTGTGGGGGGTTTAGGGGTTTCTTGGGTGGTCAGGGTGGCTGCGGTGGTCGATTTTGACAGTTCAGATTACATTGATTATGGCACATCTAGTAAAATAGCAGGCTTCATTGCTGAAACAATTCAGGTTTATCTGTCTCTTTGTTTCGTGCTTCAAAAGTTACTTGCTTTTAGTTACTGTAACTCAATGGTACTTGTTATTTATGTTTAGGGTGTTGGAGGAGGAGTTGAATTAACTCCTGGATATTTGAAGCTGGTGTATGATATGGTACGTAAGGCTGGAGGAGTCTGCATTGCTGATGAAGTTCAAACTGGATTTGGTTGAACAGGGATCAAGTATTGGGGCTTTGAAACACAAGGCGTTATTCCTGATATAGAGATAATGGCAAAGGTCTTTTAGGATACTCTAGCTGTAGTACTTATTTTGATTTAACATAATGTCTTTTATCTGACCAGAACTTAACATAATGCTGCAGGGAATCGGCAATGGCCTACCCCTTAGAGCAGTGGTGACTACACCTGAGATTGCTAGCGTATTGGCTAAATTCAATTTAATACTTACGGAGGAAACCCGGTGTGCTCTGCAGGTGGTCTTGCAGTCCTGAGGGTAATTGACAAGGAAAAACGTCAACAACACTGTTCTGATGTAGGGACCTGCCGCCACTCACCCTTCGACGGCCACCCTCCGTTTAATTTCGTAATTTACTCATGCTTCAACTGTATTACCTCCTTTTCATTCTCTAATTCCTTGTTTACATTTCACTTTAGCATTTCTAAACATTTTATTCTGGAATTTTGGTCAGGTTGAAATTATCTTAATTGTGATGAATTTATTGACTTACATTTTAGGTTAATTGTTTAGCATCGTTGAAAAATAAGGACGGAAAATTTTATATTTTAGGTTGATTTTGTGCGCTTTGTTCTTTCTGAATCTTAGTTTTGATTCTGATCATAGTTTGGGTTATTTATGTAACTTGGACTCTTCATTTCACCTCGAGTTCTCTTGTCAGATCCTCGGCATTGGAAATTTTTGGAAACTTGGAAACTTACCTGAATCCGAGTAACCTAGGTATCCAGTTGTAATAAATTTATGAACTGCGAGAAGTGTTTTGATTTTTTGTTGCGAATTTGAAAATTTTCGGGCTGACATGTACGTGCGAAGTAACGTTATGTATGATCTTGGTGATCATTACTCAAACTTTGACAACTTACTTATCTTCCACTTCTAGTCACTCTACCATATTCTAAGAAGTGCAAGTATTATTTAGGCTGCATCATTTACATTACTAAGGAGTTGTATTTAGTGTGGATTTTTACTTGAGCTTTTCTTCATTGTTACATGCTTGGAAAATCTAAAAGAAATTATCTCGGTGCAGAATTTTTGTATCTGGTCTATCCATATAGGTTCTTCTAAGATTTTCTGTCACTCAGTTGGGTTCTATATATATATTCACTTAAACATGAATTGTGCTGGTAGTTAAGTTAAACACTTTGCTCCTTAATTTGTTTCCTTTAATTACCCTCAATATATTTTGCCACTGTTTGTTTTCTTTTTCTTTAATTACCCTCAATATATTTCAAATGAGCTATAAAACATGGAATAGTTGAAAACTTATATTTCAGTAAACAGTAATTTCTGTTATACTCCGTAGCATTTAGCAAATTAGCAGTTCTCAAGTAGCATATAGCTTTCTGAATGTATCAAATGTCACATAGGCTGGATCTATGTTATTTGAATTGTAGTACAACATATATAACTGATATTTACTTGGTGCTTGTGTACTTGTTAATTTGTTATTGACATAAATTTATTCTTGGATATATTTCTCTAATTAGTTTACTGGAAAAGAGTGAGTACATGCTAACATGTACACCTCATTTTACTCTATACCAACCACCACTTGTTAGTAGATTGACTACTTACATCTACCATGGGTTACATGTACTCTCTTTTTTCTAATCTATTCTTTATCAAGCACCCCATTGTATTTGACATGTCGTTTAAGATTTTTAGTTTTGGTTGCTGAAAATATTGATCAAGTGTTAGATACAAGAGAGAGAGAGAAAGAGAGAGACGTTTATGGATTTATGTCCAAAGTTTAGAGTTACCTGTTTTTGAATGCGTGCGTATAATACTCTCTTAGTTGGGTACTGTGAGCAGTCCATGAACCATGAAACTTCCTGTAAATCTAAAATTTTCATGGATTTGGCATCCCTCAAATACCCAACGGTTCAAAACCGGTGCCAAAAGGGGGGTTTGAACCGGTGCCTTTTTATCTTTTTCGTCTAGTGTTCACTGTGAGTTTCATCTAAATTCATAACTTTCTTGTTTAAGATTGAAATGTTGTGACCTTGACTATGCATTTGTTATTTTTCTATCAAAGGGACTTTGTATGTTTCGTGTTGAATTAGGCATTGCTTTTGTGTTTTCGATATGTAATAATCAATGAGGTATGATTACCATGGTACGTTGCTTGAAGATGCTAGAGTTTATGCCTAAGCTATTATTAATTTTCGAGAAAGTATAATGTTTTCGACAAGGCTGTGATCCTTCTTGTGAAATTATGTAAGTCAATTTGTGTGGAGGTGATGGGGAGAATTCAGCAATTGATTGATAGGGCTTGGACTAGGAATCATTGCAAGTGGGTGCAATTGTTAAAGTGTAATATGCCTGGTGTTTGATGTTCTGGTTGTTGCTGGAATTCTGGTCCTGTTTTTGTTTGTGTTTAAATGGTCTGTGAAGCTGCCTGGTAAGCTTGCTGATCTTCTGATGTTTGTCTGCCTGCTGCCTTAGCTGGACCTGCTGATCCCTGCTTGTGTTCTTATCTGGATATGCTGATTTCTGGTCGTGTTTCTGTCTCTGTGCTGGGGCCTTGAGTGCTGTTTTTTGATGTGTGTTGCTGACTTTTTGAGTTGCAGGGTTGATGTGCTCCTAATGCAGGCTGGGTGCAGTGCTTGGGCTGTGTTTCTGCGTTTCTGTGCAGCAGGGTGTGCTTGTCTTTGTTTTTATTGTGTTGCTAGCTGGTTCAATCTCTGTCAGGGCCTGTAGGGAGTTTCTGTTTCTGACCTGATGCTGTGCTTTCATTTTTTCTCGGTTGCATTGCTGTATGTTACTGTGTTGTGTCTTGGAGCTGCTGCGTTCTTGTGATGCTGAGTTCTTGTTTTCTGGGTTGCCGAGGTGCTGGTGCAGGCTGTGTTTTGGGGGTCTGCAGGAAGCTTCTGTTTGGTTGCTGTGTTTTCGTTCTTCCTGATTATGCAGTGTTGTGTGTTGCTGTGATGTGGATTGGAGCTGTTGTGTTCCTGTGTAGCTGAGTTCTTGTGATGCTGGTTTACTAGGGTACTGGTGCAGGCTGTGTTCCTGGTCCTGTGCTGACTTTGTTTGCTGATGCTTTTGATTAGCTGGCTGTGCATGGTCCTGCTCAACTGGCTGCTGCTGTTTTTGTCATGTTTTGCTGGGTGCTGGCTTTTATTTGCTGTGTTTCGTTTGGTGTTTGTTTACAGGCTGTTTTTTTTTAGGAGGTCGTTGTGTTTTAGTTGAGTTGGTCTTGTTGTTTACCTATTTTGTTTTAGTTGAGTTGGTCTTGATGTTTGTGTATGAAAGTTAATGTTTCTATATCAATTTAAGTGAAAAAAATGCAAAAAAAAAAAAAAAAAAAAATTATTTTTTTGGGGTATTTTTGGCACCGGTTTTGACCAGAACCGGTGCCAAAAGTTTTTTAAAAAAAAAATTTGACACTTTTGGCACCGGTGCAAGGCACGCTTGCATCGATTCTTGCCTTGAACCGGTGCCAATAGTATTGAAAATAAAAAAAAAATAAAAAAAAAAAACGCGACATAGTAGTTGGCACTGGTTAACCGATGCCAAATGCTTTAGTTGGCACCGGTTTTGAACCGGTGCCAAATTTTGATGGATTTGGCATCCCTCAAACACCCAACGGTTCAAAACCGGTGCCAAAGGGGGGGTTTGAATCGGTGCCTTTTTATCTTTTTCGTCTAGTGCTTGTCGCGGTGCGACAAGGCTGACGCTGCACGTTGGACTTGTTGCTGTGCGATGGTTTTTAAAAGATAGCAAAGCCATAAGGAATTTGATGTCTAATGGAATTATGTTTGCAAAAGATATCCGAACGTCTTTGAATTTGAACGGGATAAGGATTATCATATGAGAACTTTTATTCAATCTCGAATTTTTTTATCTTTTTCTTTTCGGGAAAGATAAATTAGTACCTTCTAGAGGATTCTAGAATTTCCTAACTGATTTAGGATTGAGAATATGATCATATAGGGAGTAAATAAAATATTTAGACTTTATATATTCATTAGGTCGTACTAAAGGTGGACCTAGGCTTGGTTTAGGCTTGGTTTAGTATTTTGGTCATGACTCATTCGTTTTAAGTCGGATTTGGGCTTATAATATATCGTTGGAAAACTCTTTTCAAACCCCATCCATCTAAATAATAATTAGACTGGGAACATGGACCAAAATAATCAAGTATTCACTTTTTTATGATTTAGACACGAAATGAATGATTTTAAGGACATAAAATAGATGATTTGGATTAAAAACATTTTAGGTAAGGTTAGAAATATGGTCAAGGTTTAAGGAAACATTGCAAGACTCTTCAACTCTTTACTGAACTCGTCAATCAAAACGTGAAAGGTACTCATCACTAGGTTTGGTTTTTGGGGAGATACAATCAGGTGTCTACAGTCCCTATCATTAATCATTAGTTGGCTATTTATAATTGTATTTTCAGGTGGCAAAACTGTACTTTATTGGACAGTTTAGGGGTAAATCTATACTTTATAATGATTAATGGAGGGTTAAGGATGGTGGACTGGATCATGAAAGGGTATTTTCGTTATTTTAAATCCATTGAGCTTAAAACATGGATTAGGCCCAAACAGGTTATAGTAGATACTTAATAATTATACAAGAATTCATTTTGGAAGAAAGAAATAATGATTTAACCACTCATTCCATACCATGTTCTCTATGCAATAACGACACCCCAACTTCCATTGGTCATGTAACTGTTTTGCATTATTAGATATTTAGAATTATTCACAGATAATATCACATTGACTTGATGATTCTATGGATCTTTTCTAGCTTTAAGGGCCACTCGTGTCATTTCCTTGCAATTTTTTGTATTATTTTAGAGAGCAATTATTTAGTGTGTCATGTGACCTTATATTATACAACATGCATGATTAATATTAATTCTTCTTCCCCGACAGTTGCGGCTTTTTACCAACACATATCTTAAGAATTAAAGGTTGTCATGTCCTCTAAGACACTTCTTGTTGATTATGCTTAAATCATGCTTTTGTGACAAATTTACCTTTAATTATGATTATGCTTTATTTAAATTAAGCTGCATGCACTCTACATTATGGTTATTATTGAGGCCCAATAGATTTTGAATCGTGAATCATGGCTTCTTGTGTCATTGTGTACTTCCATGTTTTCAGTTTATCACTCTAGTTAAAATAGTGTTCGGATAATCAACTAAATACATGATCCGGTCAACAATATATATTTTGGTCCCTTCGTTAACTTGATTTCGGTCTTTTATGGATGTCGACGAGCTTTGCGATGAAGTCCTTAGGCTAGAAGTCTAGAACCACTCCGGTTTTGAGATAAAATATTGGAATTATTTGACTCTTTTTACATCACTGTATATTTAAATTTTCTTTGCACCCTAAAATCTACCACTCTAGTTTCAAATTAATTGACAAAAAGTAAAATTATGTTGTACATATATCACAATTCACAAATTCTTATATGTGGCTATGGCCACTTCATATAAGCAATATATTGAGTAATAGGGATTACTACGA